CCCAAAAGGGCAGGTAAAGCAAAATAAGGCGGGGTAAATGAATCAAACATCCCCAACCTTTAAGGTTTTTTGTACTTGTGTCCCCAACCTTTGTTTTTACAACCGTATTCCCAAGCTATAGAAAATAGGTGATATTCATCCAAATACATTTTTTTGTTAGTCAATATATTTAACTTGGATGCCCAAAAATTAAAAGTAGCAAAATTGTCATTCTTATTCTTAACAAAAATATAAAAAAATCAGGAAAAAAAAATCAATTATATTATTCAATCATCTTCTTAATTTAATTTTTTTTGTTTTGTATTCTTTTCTCTTGTTTTCCACTTTTCCAATTTTTTTAATATCTTCATTCTCAACGGAATGACAAATTGCCCCTTTTAATTTTGTTATGTAGGTCAAATGGATTGATTTAACAGAAAAATTGGTGCAAAATTCTGTCTATTTTTCAAAGATTACATGATTGTTCAGGAAAAATGCTGAGGATGAAAGTACAAATAACTTAAAATATTGGGGACGTCTTTCGTAATTTCACCCTTCCAGAGAGGGGAGCGTTCTCAGGGTCACGATGGACATTTCAACTCTCACTCATCTTCTCCAAATATTTATGTATTTCTCCCTGTGAGATGAGAAAAGTCGGTCCATTGATTTCTCGCCTAAAATATCTCAAAACACCTCAAACCCCAACTATTTGCATCCCCTAAATTTTCTCTCAAAATTTCCCTCGATCTTCGCCGATCTGACCTCTGCACCATGGTATCCGTATAGTATTACTTTTCTATCACCTTTTGTCTATGCATTTATTTTCGATAAATTAATTTTCATGTTCGTTATCCTTTTTGTGTTTGATTCTAGATCTTTATTTTTTGTAGGAAAGCTGAAATTCTAGAGCCTTTTTGCAATTTAATTTGATTATTTTCTTTTTTTTTGCTTTATAAACCTTTAGATCTGATTTTTCTGTAATTTTGGGCCTTGATCTCTAGATTTGGCATTGATTTGATGTTTGTGTAGGCCGACATCAGATTTTTATTTTTTCCCAGTCTGGTTTAGGGTAATTTAAAAAAAAATTGTTTACGCTGGATTAGTTTTGGTGCCTTTGTTTTTGGGGAAAATCATTATCAAGTGAATTAAATAATTGTATAAGGTTATCCAAAATACAAGTTCTATCTCGATATGGTTAATGATCTGATAGTTTTCTTTTGATTAAGGTTTTTTAAAGATAATTCAAACATATAAGAGCTATTGTTTGTTCGCACACAAGATTGCTTTCATCCCCTCCCCACACGTATAAGATTATAATAAGATTAATTTGATGTTTCTTTCTTTTATTGTTTTGGATTTGGATAGTAATCAGTTATTTGAGTTTACCGTGTCAGATAACCTAATATGAATCATGTTAAGGAACATTTCCTGTTTGATTTGGAGGTTGCTCCTTACTTTACTTTGAACAATAATATTTTTTAGGCTGATGACAGACGGCACAATTAAATCAGGAGAAACTTAAAAGTGAGATATGTGGCTCATTCCAAATCAGGAGAAACTTAAAAGCGAGATATGTGGCTCATTCCGTATTAGGCAACTTCTAATAATGGTCTCCAGTAATTTGAATTTAACATCATTTATTTATGCAACAAGCTTTGAGAGACCTTTCTCACTCTTACTCCCACTCTGAATCCCACCCAAGTTATTATTTAGAATCCGTTATGATGTATTACTCTTTACATCATTTACATTCGTCAGTTTCAATGTTGCCATTCATAAGTCCTAAGATCATTTTGTTTACAGGCTAATGCGGCTTCAGGAATGGCAGTGCATGATGACTGCAAACTCAAGTTTATGGAATTGAAAACAAAACGAACATATCGTTTCATAGTATTCAAGATTGAGGATAAACAGGTTATTGTGGAAAAGCTTGGCGAACCAGCCGAAACTTACGAGGACTTCACCAAATGCCTCCCTGATAATGAGTGCCGTTATGCAGTTTATGATTTTGACTTCATGACCCAAGAGAATGTCCCAAAGAGCAGGATTTTCTTCGTTGCGTGGTAATTTTCTTTCCTGGCAAAACTAGTAAATGAAAATAAACTGGCTTTATTTTCACTACACTAACTGTTAGTTTCCCTTTTTCTGCGTGATAAGGTCCCCCGACACCTCAAGGGTGAGGAGCAAAATGATCTATGCAAGCTCCAAGGATAGGTTCAAAAGGGAATTAGATGGCATTCAGGTGGAGTTGCAAGCAACTGATCCAACTGAGATGGGTCTTGATGTCTTCAAAAGCCGCGCAAATTAAATTTCCTTTTAAGTCGCAGCAAAGTACGATATATTCTATTTGCTCTACTTGCAAGCAATGTTAATAGTTTGTGAAACAGTGGTACCTGGTTAAGCTATTATATTGGTCTATTGTCGACTTCTAATTTTATGTTCCTGTCTGCATCTAGAGCCAATTCAGTCATTTTGATCTTATTTTATGATTTTTTTGGTGTGGAATTTCGGTTGTGTTGCGGCCTGGGGCTGGATAACTGTTGAATTTGATTCTATATTTTGGAAATGAACTCTTGGCTTTTCTTGTGATTTCGAATTGTTGTATTCTCACTTTATACACGCTGACATAGATGTTCTATTGGGCAAATATATGAGGTGTATTTAGTTCCAGTTTTGATGTTCATCTAGTTTTTCTTCTAATTTTATCATAGATCAAGGTGAAATGTATACATCTGATATTGTTGCCAAGTGAGTATCCCACCAGTGATCTGCTAATGATTTTTACCAACGTCCATCTTTCATTTGCTAAGAGTCTGTGAACCTTAGCTGATTCCTCCCAAACTAGAGGCCTGCGTTACATTTGGATATGTCTGAATTGACATTTAGAATTGAAATCCATCAAAGGTTTAAAGTTTCGATTCCAATGGAGACATTTGCCACAATGAAACGTTGGACATTTCTGTCATTCGCTTGTTTGAAAAACAACAGTTTTTGTACCAATTAAAATTGCCAACGCTGCTTCTGAGATCGGGGTGGGCACCATATTCTGGCAGAAGTGCCGCAGAACAGCTTAATTCTGGGGCTTAATTCTGGGGGGAAATGGAACTTGAACTTTAAGATTACGACTTTAAACTTGAAAACGTTTTATTAGGATAGTCCCAGTTCTACTTTAATGGTATGGGCGTGTGATCTGACTTTTTACACTGTTTAAGCTCTGTTTTCTTCAGGCACTGAGTTGATTTTCCACTCGGTCACTTCTTGGAAATTTGTAAGGTATGCAAATTGGGAAGTGAAGTCTACATTCGACAATCTAGAACCAACTACTTGAATAATATGAGGTCTCGAGCAATGACTTGAATCATTCACGTTCTTGCATCTCTCTCCACTCGAGACATGATATAGGATATGTTATCGGGTTAATTTCACAAATGGTCATTGAAATTACAGCAAAATTTCAAAGTGGTCACTGAAATTCTAAACTTGCATAAACGGTCACTCAAAGGGCACTGAAGTTCCAAACTTGCATAATCGGTCACTCTACTTTCAGCCACTTTCAAAATTGGGCACTGAGGTAAGTTTTGGACTTTTTTGTTCTAATTGAAACATAAATTAACAAAACACGGCCCCTTCAAAATTAGAGGACCTCAACTTCAAAATTCATAAAAACCACCAAAGCTGCCATTGTTTTCCTCTTCAATTCCGGCGAGCTACGGCCTCCCAAACCACCCGACATAGGCACTGTTGGAAAGCCCTTGCCTTCCTCTTCAATTCTATCACAAGAACTCTCCATAACTCCTATTAATCCGGCAGATACAATCAGTCAAATTTCGGTGCCTAAAAACTTCAAAACGTCGGAATCCTCACGTCCGGCCACCAATCTGATCGGAACACCCAACTGGCATGTTCCCTACCCCTGGACGACTCTATCTATGCCAACAATTTGAACCAAAATGCATGAGAAAAACCAGAATTAATTCCAGCAGAATTGCTAATTCCGACGACGCTGTCCTCCAATTGTTAATTTCGGCGCCATTCGGACGAACCCAGGTCGCGGACCACCTGGGCTGGGTGCTCCTTCACCTGGCACACCTAGCCCAGCCATGGGCTTCCTCCAATTTGGCCCCAATCAACAGGAATTTGGTTGGAAGTTTCTCGTCGACTGCGTGGGAAATGGTGGCTGCAATTGTTTTTTTTTTTTGAAATGATTGGCTACAATTGTTGATTGGGTAGTTTAGTAGATGTTTGAAGACCATGGTTAGGTTTGCCATGATGGGGGCAGTCTACCAATATGTTGGGTTTGGGTTGGGAGTCTTCGGAAATGGAGTTATCGTAGCTCGTCGGAATTGAAGAGGAAGACAATGGCCGTTTTGGTGGTTTTGATGAATTTTGAAGTTGAGATCCTACAATTTTGAAGAGGTCGTGTTTTGTTAATTTAAGTTTTAATTAGAACAAAAAAGTCCAAGACTTACCTCAGTGACCATTTTTGAAAGTGCCTGAAAGTTGAGTGACCGTTTATGCAAGTTTGGAACTTCAGTGATCATTTTGAATTTTTGCTGTAATTTCAGTGACCATTTGTGAAATTAACCTATTAGTTATCACTAAAGATAAAATTTGTAATGTGATCTCCAACGGAAAAATAAAGGTATCGAAGGATGGTCTCTTCACTTCCTCAAAATTTTCAATTATTCGAATACTGGAGAAGATAATAAAATTATTTCGAAAAATTTCATCCCCACACATGACACATCTAATTTTTGGTTGAAATTATCTCTACGACATTCGTTTTTGCATGATAATAATAGCAAGTGGTAGGTAGACAGACAGCAAAACAGAAAAAGACAAGCTTTCACCATCTCCTCCCCGCCACATATAACGACGGTAACCAGCGGAACACACTCTGACGTGGATTCAACCGACAAACACCTACCCCTCTCTCTCTCTCTCTCTTGGAGTTGAAAATACCGCCCCTCGTTAATATTAGCGACCATATTTCTCGCCTACCAAAGACCTTGAACCGGCACATGGGGGTGCCGAGCGACGACGCTGTGTTGATCCAGAAAGGGAAGAAACTGGGTGAGCCATATGTAATAACGGTGAATTGTCCGGACAAGACTGGCCTTGGCTGTGATATATGTCATATTATTCTCGAATTCGGACTCTACCCTACCAAAGCAGGTCAATTTCTCCTAATTCGTCTTTATGTTCTAGTTTTATTTACTTAAGGGTATTTGAGAATTTGATTACGATGAAGATTTTATTTATTTTTTATTCCAATCCAAGGATCTAGTTCTTTGTTATTATGCTCTTAAAAACATTTGATATTTTCTCTCGCTGTATTCTGTTAATCCTCCAGTCTCCAAGGTCATATAATCTTCGAATACGGGCTTGCCAATTAGGTTTCTGTCGAAGTTCGAGTCTCGAGATTTTAAATTTTTAAATAAACCGAGCCTACATTTCGCAGTTTCCTGGTTAATTAGAAAGATTTAACTAGTCAAAAAAATTTAGTTTGTGGTGATCTTCTTGTATCGTTATTGGTTTGAAACTTTTCTTTCCTTTGTTAGGGGAGGTTATCGCCTGACTTTTCAATGTTGGTATAATCTTCAGATGTTTCAACAGATGGGATATGGTGTTATGTAGTATTGTGGGTGATCCCTCATCCCAGCTCACCTTTTGTGAAATGGGCGAATTTGAAAGAGCGGCTTCTGTCAGTATGTCCATCATGTACAACATCAATTTATTGGAACCCACCATCTCCACGACCCTCATCTTCACCCATTTACCTGCTGAAGTTTTGTTGTTGCGATAGGGGGGGATTATTACATGGTAGCTACAGATGTCCTACTTTTAGCGTAAGTTAATAACAAATTCATATGCTATTCTAGTGATGTATGTTACATATCTTCAGATGTTACTCGAGCCCTTGATGAGCTTGAGCTATCAATTCAAAGAGTAAAAGTGACCACAACACCGGACGGGTGTGTTCTAGACCTCTTCTTCATCAGAGATAACTTGTAAGGGTTTCTTCTCACATATGAACTTTATAGAATTGCTGAATTGCAACATATGTGGTCTACTGCATTCAACCAATAGGACATGTTACAGAGTGTATGTTGGGGAATGCTTAATTTTTTAAAGCTGATTAAACATATATTTTATCACACATTTCGTAAGACCACTACTTACTACTCACTTATTAAGCACACATTTTGTAGGACCAGCAGCTTGTAAGCACTTAAAATTTTTTTAATGCCAAGGACGCACTGAAAAGCTACTTGTTTGGAAATCTTGATGATAATCCATTTTATCAAACTTTTCTTTCTTTTCTATCTGACCCTTTTTATAGTATACCTAGGTTATGCAAAAGTGTCATGTGATCTTTTTTTTTTTTTTTTCGCTCAATACCTCTTCATTGGAGGAGTGTTTAGCTGATGAAATACCAGCAGTGCCGGTCCTGTGATTTTCGGGGCCCGAGGCGAACTCCCAAAATTGGGCCCCCCAAGATCAACGTAAATGCAAAATCCAACAATGCATTATGCAATGTATTGTTAACTTAACACTGAAGAGTAGAACAACAAACAAATATAAAGAACAAAAGATTTATAGATATTATAAAGTAACAAAATCGACAAGAGTTCAAACAATCAGTTAAATACTATTCGTCTCGCTGTTTTAGAGGCAAAAACATTAATCAAATCTGAATAATTTAACCGTTCA